CGCCTGGTCCAGGTCGGGGAATTCGCAGGGGCCTCCCAGGTTCCGCAGCTGGGCCACGAAGTCGCTGATGGTCTCGCCTTTGCGCTAATCTCGGCGGTAGAAGTCGTGCCTACGAATGAGGATGGGCACAGTAGGGGCGTAATGGCAGCGCAAGATGGGCTCGAGGTCAGCCCAGTCCATCTCCTTGACGTCGGTGGGTTTCGCCAGTGCCTTGGCCATTTTGAACACCGCGGGCCCGCAGTGTGTTAGGAATACTGCCCGTTTCCTCTGGCCATTGGCATCCTTGAGGTTGCTGCATTCCAGAAACATCTGGAAGCGGTCGATGTAGGACTCCCAGTCTTCGGTTGCTGGGTCGAACGGAGCGGGCGGCAGGGTGCTGGTCATCTTGCAGGGCGCTGGTCACCATTTGCCACGTGCTAGTTGGTCCTCGCCTCACGATCCCACCTTCGTCGCCAGTGTTAGATCGGTGGATCAGGTCACATAAGAGGCGAGACGCGAAAGTGAACAATCAGCCGGCCGGCGGCTCGGCAGCCAATGGCAGCGCTTTGAATCTCCTGCGATCGGCTCGGCCAATCGCGGTAGATTCTTAGCGCTCCAATCACAGTCATTTAATGGACCAATCGGGTTGCGGTTCGGGTGGACCAATCAGAATGCGAGTCTTCATGAATGTTAATACAGAACAGCTTGCTTCACAAGGTGGCAGCAGAGAGTCAGGAAGACACTGTTGCTACGCCCATGTTAGGTTGCAGTTACTCTTGGGACCTTTGAATTAAGTTGATTAAATGGTGCACAATGGTTGCAAAAAGGGGTTTATCATTGGAGAAACACTCTGGTCAAATTGGAGAAACTGTGTAAAAAAAAATCAACATTTGGGAAATTTCTTCTTGAGCCCCAGATATAGCTGTGGGCAGCATTGCTTAAGTCTCACTTCTTTGTGAAAGAAAAAAGAGGGGAAAGAATTTCCTGCCTACTCTTGAAAAAAGGAAAAAAACGGTAAGAATTCTTTAACTTCACTGTAAATTTCTTCTTGACCACCAGATGGGGATGTAGGCTGCTTTACCAAGATGTGATGTTGCCCGTTAGGAAAGGGGTGGTTGGGTCTCCTTACTCGATGGAAGAGAAATTAATCAAACAAGTACACCAGTTCAAAGGGTATTTGCAGTCCTTGTTATGCTTAAAAATTTTTAGCATAGAAATAAGATGGATAAACTGTATGCTTTGTGAGGGAAAGGAAATTGCTCTCTGTTCACATAGCTTACTTGCTGGAGCTTTGATTCATAGCCCCAAAAGACAGAGAGAGGTTGCAAAAATAGCTGGAGAGGCTTCTCCTATTGCCTCTGTGGTTGAATAGAGAAGGGGGGGGGGATTCCTCCCAGCAGCCAAGGGTTTTTTTTAAAGTTGTACAGGGAGGCAGAGATATCAGCATTTGTAAAGAGCTTCTACCTCATGGGCAGCCCATTTCTATGGTGATGAGGTATTTTAATTACTGACTTCCTGTGGAAGCTTTTGGTTGGAATGGCCAGTGAGATGCAGTCCTTGTCTCAGAAAGGAAAAAGGAAGAAAAAAGAACCAAATTTTCTTCAGTTGCTGAGAATTGTAGCTTCATATGCATTTGAAAAAAAAATTGTAGGTAGTAACTGGGAAGAAGCAGGGCAGATGGGTAAAACCTGGCTCCTCCCTTTGTTTTACAAATTGACTCTTCCCAGTGAGGAGTTGTAATTTGAGACACAGCACTTCTCTCGTTGAAGAGAAAAGGACAGGGAATTTGCCCCTTCCTGGAACTATGATGTGTCTTTATCAGTTGTAAATTGTCTGGAAAGGGTCTCTTTTATGGCTTTGTCTCCCTCAGCTTTCATTTCCGTTTAAGAATACAAATAAGATTTCCCAAACTTTCCAACTGTGTTTGTAGGAGGTTTAAAGGCAGAGGTTTGGCAAAAGGAGTCTCTGAGATAGCAGGAAGACAAATTGAGCAGAGAAGAGGGGGGTGGGTGGATAGTTCTCTTTGTTTGTAACATGTGGGGGAATTCCAACCCCTCCCACCATCCACAGCATGTAAAGAATTCTGATGCTCACAGAGAGAGACGAAGGGAATGCAGGTTTAGATTAACATTGCATATTCACTCCTGGCTTCAATATTACTTTGCTTTATCAACAAATCCAAATTAACAGTTTTATAGAGATGGCTTTCAGAAACATCTTTTACTTTTCTGTATCATGTACAGAGGTGGATTTATGAACTGTACAGATGCAGATAGATAACTCAACAAGATGTCCATAACAAAATAAATTTATTGGTTCATCAGGTATCTTCATAACTCACGTTTGTAACGAAGTTCTTCTTTAATGACCAATCCTTTGTATATCTGCCTTGTAGTAAAAGATGGTTATCTCCTAACCCATCTTGTAGCGATAGAAAGAAGCTGCCATGAGTAAGAGAGTTCAGACAAAGAAAGAGGAAAACTCCCCCAATCCATCGAGGGTCAAACTAGTGACCAATCAGGATTACAGATGTGGCCACGTGACATGAACTACATTTCCCAGGATACCTTTAACTACATTTACCATGATGCATTCCCTTAAGGGGACAGCTCATAATTCCTAAGTAACTATCCAATTCCCATAGACTGGCTTGGACAGCACAGTAACTGGTGGATCTTAAAATGTTAAAAGTTGAAAACTAATGATTGAGAGAATTTAGATTTTGCAGTATACAGTTTGCTGGATTTATATATTGTGTATATATTTATATTTATATAAATATTATGAAGCAAATAGGAAATTAGGCAATACACACAAGCAGAAATTGAAGTGAAAATTGAAGTGATAGGAAAGTATGTAATCTTGTTGCCATTTTTACAGATCTTGTAAATATTTTGATATGCCTTTTCTGTACATAGTCTAGAGAATCTTCAAGAGCTTTTCAGTTCTATTTTATTAATAGAAAATACAAAATAAGGCCCAGCACAGTTAAATTGAAAAAAAAAAAACCAGAGTAATCCTCACCTGCTGGCAATGGTTACCAGAATGTGCAAGATGTGATAATCTTCTCACCAGGGCAGGGTTAGGAAAGGCTCTCCATTATGGCAAACTATAGTTAGGAATTGGGTTGGCCTGGAGAAAGACAAAGCAAAGTAGGTCAGATTTTTGACTTGCCAGGCTTTCAACTCACATGGACCAACTAACAGGCTGCTTAGTTCTCGCTCTGGGATGCAGCATATCTACTTCAATGTTTTTGTATTTTGCCTTTCATACTGTAGCCCTTCCTCTGGGATTTTTTTCTATTATTGCTTTATACATTTTTTGTTCTTAAAAATGTAGGGCAGTTTTGCTGCATCAATGGCAGGAAGAAATGTTCCCCTTTGGACATTTGGGTTACATACCTCTGTTGCTTAGAAATAGCAGGGACCAGAAAGAAAGGCAGAAGATTTATAATTGCAAGCATTTTCTGTAGATTTTGGAAACAGAGCAGCCTGAAATCAATTTGTGCATAATGACTGATCAGAAATGCAGCCAATTAATAAGTTACACAAAGAATGAAAATGTTCATGTTAAAGAGTGTTGATTTTTAGAGCTGTTTAAATCTTTTATCGTAAAAGATATGGCTCAGAATGACACAAAAGCATTTGGAAAAACCTCTTTGTCAGTATTAAAACATTCATACAAAGACAACAAAGAGTAGTTGTTAAAGTTATTATCTGATTCAGAGCTTTTTCAAGGAGAGGGAGTACATGCCATCAAACAGAATCCCAGATTAAGAGCTGCACTTTCCTGATTAAGGATGGAGGCCTGATATGACCAAAGGGATGCTACAATGGTCATAAGTGTAAAAAAAAAACATACCTTTGAATGGTTGTTAAATGAATGATCATAAATCAAGGACTATCTGTTTGCTGATACATGAAGAAATAAGCTCTTCTTGCTTTCTGCATTACCCAGACAGTCCCACAAAACTTTATTCTTACTCACTGACATGATTCCAATTTAGCTTCCTCTCCCTCAATTTAGCTCCCAACCACCTACTCTAGGGCAAGATTTACCAAAGGACATTTATTGCAAGTTGATATTGTGTTACCGTGTGTCAAGACTGACTTGAACTTTCACCTATACTCCACTTTGCTCACAGTGTGACAAAGAATGGGTGATGGTGGACTGGAATATAAGGATTGGGGAAATGGCCTCCAAGCATCATTGGTTCTCACAAGACATTGTGTCCCCCCCTCAAGGACACGCAGAGTAGATGCCACAGCGTGATTGTCTGGTTCCCAAAGCAAAATGAACAAAAGTAATTGGTGAATGTAATGGACTTTGGATGGTCGGTGGGGAAAGGGGAAATGAACTATGCATGTGTTTGCATGGGAAACTCGGAGCTGCTTTTGCTTCTTCTGTGCCAATGTAGTAAAGTTTATACTCTTAATAAAATAATGTTCCAGGAGTTTCTCTTTCTGGATTTACCAGCTAGACAGCTGATACCTGGAAGATAACATAGAGAAAGACTTTAACAATATTTCAAAAGCTGGTCATTACCTTTCTCCCAGTTCTTAGAAGGACAACAAAATGATTTAATAGACATCAGGATATAGGATACATTACTAACCCATAATTGAGGTATGGGTTAGTTATGTGCTATAAATGGGCTCTCCTGCCTGAGAAGTAAATATCACATGATGTCTGGCTTACATTCTTATTGAGTGGGAAACATTTCAGACATCTTCAGGCAAATGCCACTCAGTTGCTCCTGTTGAAATATTTCAAGAACCTTTCTCCAACCTAATTCCAATAACACAATCATATGTAAAGGTCAGAGTAACACTGCAAGGACAAATAAAGGTGGTATAATAAGGATCAGCAATGCAACCTGAACTTGATCCTGCTGTGTGTTAGCCAACACAACTAGCCTAGCGTAACCTTATCCAATTTATATTTCTTCATTTTCAACGGTGTTGATTCATGAAACTTGTCAGGCTACAGAAGTTTTTCCCATTCAATTAACAAGAATGAACGTCTGAAAACCAAATGTATCAAAAGGAATCCTTTACTGAAATGAGACAATTCATGTAGGAGTTCAAAGCAGCATCTGAGGTCCCTCAGGCATACAGGGATAGATAAGGGAGTTTAGAACCCCCTCCCCTTATCTTGATGTGTATTTAATGAAACAAAAGCCAGTATGTTAATTCCCCACCCCACCCCTTCTGTAGAAAGGATCTTTTTCACAGTTTTCCAGGGCATACCTAATTTTCCCCCACCCCCTTTTTAGAATGAACTTTTCCAGAGATTTCCAAGACACATCTCACTGTGGAATTTTTATGATCTTCTCATCTCATGGTCGTGCCTCTCAGAGGTGATAGTTCTGGCCATCTGGTTTTTCTCCCTCCATTGTATCATGTATGGGTTATACAAATTCAATATAAGATTAAATATATTCAGGTTACAATAAGAAAAGATTTCTTTATCAGTCTCCCCCCCTTTTCTTCTTCCACTGAAGAAATGACAGATACACGGATCTGACAAAACTTGATACATAATAGGACTTTATGGAAGGGAAAAAATCACTGTAGAATACTTTTACAAACATCCTTATTTTTCTTTTAGAAATACTTTTTAAAATTGTCATGAGTGAATTATTTTTCTTAAAGTGATGGTTTCTTTCATGTTTTCTTTCAAAAAAATGCACATGCATTGTCATATTCCTGGGATAGTATTACAAGGATAATGCAATGATCCAAAGAGGCAGGGAGTAATAAAGACAGATGATACCCATAAGATATTATCTTTGGCCTTTATAATTCTGCACTCATTTGTTTCATCACAAATCCATGTGAAGGATCTGCACCAGTTGAAAACATTTCCAGAATATGGTCATCCCATAGCATCAGCAGTATTGGAATACTGAGTGATTTACTTCATCTCAGCAGAACAGCTGAAGCCCAGATGCAACTAGGATGGTTGTTTTAGAGACATTGTGATTCTCCCTTTTTACTGCAAAAGTTTGGGACAAGACTTCCTGATGCTCAGCAGCTTTGAAGTATCATCATCAGGGGTAGGCTTCAACATTTTTAGCAAGGGGCTCCCTGCCCTAATGACTGGCTGGCTGGGCGTGGCTGGTTGGGTGTGGCTGGGTGGCATGGCTAGGTGGTCATGTGACTGGTTGGTCATGTGATCAGGTGGATGTGGCCAGGTGGTCATGTGACTGGGTGGATGTGGCCAACTTGACATTGCTTCTTTGCCCTACTTACACTTAGGCAAAAAAACCCAAAAGTACACATATAGACTGGGTGAAATCAGGCTTAGCAGTGACTGTGAGAGGGATCTTGGAGTTTTAGTGGACAACCAGCTAAATATGAGCCAGCAGTGTGCAGAGGTAGCCAAAAAAGCCAATGCAAGTTGCAATAACAGAGGGATACAATCAAGATTAAGCAAGGTACTAATTCCACTCTATAAACTAAAGCCTTTGTAAGACCACACCTAGAGTACTGCATAAAGTTTTGGTCACCACACTATAAAAAGATGTTTTTTAAAAAAACAAGTTTTATTCAGTTTTCACATTTTAACCTCTCTTTTTAGTGAACAGCATGATTACAGGTTTCACATATACATACAAATATGACCATAGCTACATATTCAATTTTTGTATCCAATTTCTTATCTTAACAATGCTTTTATACATTTTCTATGTTAGTTTCATAATTATTATACTTTAGTACTTTTAACTGTCACATTTGTATATTTCATCTTAAATTCTGATTAAAAACACTCCTTCTATAAATTGGTTTCCCCCTTAAAATATCAGTTTAAGTACGCCACCTCTAAGTTACATATTCATTCATTATCTCCCCTTTTAAATCACATTAAAAGTTTAACATTTTATTACCTAAAACATTAAAATTAATAATCCCTTTAAAACTACATAACATATATAAATCAGATTCTGCATGGATTTTCCCCTTTTTAATTTCATAAGATTTATTTACAATTTCAAAAAGGGGACATATTAATCGACTCATTTAATCCTAAACCCTGATGTTAATTCCATTTCAGCTCTCCTCCGATATCATTTCATTTATTTCAATATATTTAATACACATATTCCATTAATTATTCCATTCATATTTAGACAAAAAAGCCTGCATTCCAGTCCTGGAAATATTTAAATATTTTTAATAAACATATTCCATTATTTGTTACAATTATCTCTATACATAAAGGAAAAGAGCATTAGATTCCATTATCAAGAAATAACAGTTCTGTTTTCCATCTTAACAATGTAAATGTCCCTATTTCATAACTATAAATTTATTTATGTTACCCCCCCAGCACCTTGCAGAATCCCTTTTTTAAATATTAATCAACTATTATCTCTATGTCTAATTAAACATTTTCTCAATTTTTTTTTACAATTCCCATGTTTCTTTGTTCCCAAATCCTATTTCTTATCCCTTCTTTCCCCCTGTATTTTTCCCTTTATTCTTTCACTCCAGTTTTTATCCCCCTCTCTATTTTTTGCTTCCTTCCACCCTTCAAATTTCTGCTGATTCTTTTCCCCTTTTTAATTTTCTGGATATTCCCCTCTTTATTTAATTTCTTAAAATCTCCTATATTTATTTCCAACTCTTTTCCTCTTTCTTTCCAGAGTTCTTTGTTCTTGATGATAATTAAAGATGGCCCCTTCTATGATTTGCTCTACCTCCTCTTCTGTCTTTTGTCTTTGTTGTTCATATTCTGCAATCGCATTTTCCATAAATTTTAAAGCAAAGCCCAATGATTCACCTCACTCTTGTAATATTTCTTTCATGCTTCTAAGTTCCATTTTTAATTCCAGAAGAGATATCGCCATTTTACAACTTTCTAGTTAGCAATTTAATCCAAATAGTGTCTTTGAAGTTAATTTCCAACAGTCAGCTTTTATTTTCTTCCCCTCAAGTTTTAATCCTCAGCTAATCCAATGCCAAATCCATGCCAGAATCAACAATTATAATCCAAGGGCAGAATCTTCTGTTTCTTTCTTTGTTTCAATTTTTCATTTTTTCAAAGTTCTTGTTTTATTGTATCAATTTTCCTTACAGTTTTTAAGAAACAGAGTCTTTTAAAAGAAGAACAAGTTAGATTTAAATTAGATGGCATTCTTTGTTATAACAGATCTTCACCCCCTCTTTTCTTTTTTCTTTTCAATTAATCAGAGCTTTTTAAACCACAGTCTTCCAAACAAAAAGATCAAATCCAATTGGTATTAAATTTTCTCTTTAACAATCTATAGTTCAGCTTTATTAGTGCCTATATAGAATCAGAATATACTTATCCAAATTGATTAGATGATTCCTTCTTCCAGCTCTCGGTTCAAAGCCCTGCCGCTGTCAAAAGCAATTCACACCTTTTTCTCTCTCTTTCTCTTTGCCGCTTTAAATCCTTTCTTAAAAATTATTTGAAATGTTAATCCTGGGGGTACCTTCCATTTAATTATATTGTCCCATTCCTCCTGCTGTTTGCTTCTTTCTCTCTCCTGCGCAATCTTATTTTAGCTTAATCTTCCCCTTCAGGGTGGCCATTTTAGACCACTGTTTCAGGTGTCTTTGGGAGGGAGCAATTGCCAAGCCAGGGAGGGGATTTGCGACTCCCCTCTACCTGGCTGACAGTCTCCCCTTCCTCTGTTGCCCCTACGAGGTGGCTTCTGCCCCAAATCTGATTGATCGGGGCTCTCTGACACTGAAGCATGGACCAAAGCCATGCACAGTCATGGTCAGAGGTTTGTTTTCAGGGAAGTTCAAAACTGGAAGCCACTATAAAAAGATGTTGAGACTCTAGAAAAAGTGCAGAGAAGAGCAACTAGGATGATTAGGAGACTGGAGACTAAAACATATGAAGAATGGTTACAGGAACTGGATATAGCTAGTCTAGTGAAGAGAAGGACCAGGGGAGACATGAGACCAGTGGTCCAATATTTGAGGGGCTGTCACAGAGAGGAAGGAGTGGAAGAGGAAAAATATTTGTGAGAAATATTTACTGTGTTTTTTGCTTGTCAAATTTAAAAGGCCATTGGATTCCATAAAGGTTGTGACAGCAATAGAAGTAATTATGTAAACGTAAAGCAGCAGCTAGGCAAACTGCTGAATAGTCTGAATTATACTTTAGAAATTGTGTAATGTATGCTCTGAAATTGAGCAAATGAATGAGACCTAAAGGTAAGCTGTTCTCTACAAAATGCACTCTGAACCTACCGCACTAAGCCTGGCATGAAAAAGCAGAGCAACTTACTAGTTTTGAAGAGGAGTATATGGAATAAAGAAAGAAGATTGACACCAACAGTTTTAGGAGAGTGCATAATTTTGTTTCCCTAGAACATTCCCACGGTAATCAATACTGTATTAGCTGCTCCAAATGTTCTTTTGGCTAAACGCTGAATCCAGGCATACTGGATAGTGGGGTGCTCCCAGGAGGCTGCAGGGAAGCCTTCTTGGAGCCAAAACAGGGCACAGGGGGTGGCACTGGACCTCCTGTGTCCCGTTTTTGGCCTAGAAAGCTTCCCTGGAGCCTCCTGGGAGCAAAAATGGGGCATGGGGGGTGTTCTGTAGCCAGTAAAGAGACTCGCAGGCTGGAGTTGACTTCAGCTCTTTAATAATAAACAGTAACTTCAACTGCAGTCGAACCGCAGAAGCCCTTTTTATAGCAGCTGCTCCATGGCTCGCAACCAATGACATTTAGTTAAACTTCCTGCCGCTATAGGCGGCCAATTAGATACTAACATTACTAACCAATCGTATCGTTGCTTCTGTTAACCAATAGGAACATCGCCCTAGAAGTCTCTATTTAAATACATTACAGGGGGAGCTACTTTTTTGGCCTAGAAAGCCTTCCTGGAGCTTCCTGGAAGCAAAAATGGGATATGGGGGGTGGCATTGGACCCACCTGTGCCCTGTTTTTGGCCTAGAAACCCTCTGTGGAGCTTCCTGGGAGCAAAAATGGAAGGGCAGGTGCAGGACAAAGCAAAAAACTATCTGAAACTTTAAGCGCTTGCTAATATCAATGAAAAACTGGGAACAGAAAAAATAGGAAGCAGGCAATGACATCAATAAATGTAATGTGTTAGCGTTTCATGTTAAATCAGAAGTATTTACATAACTTTCTTCTAACACGGGATGTCAAACCTGCAACATCATGGTGGCCTCATGTGATGTATTGGGACTTTTTTCCCCTTCGCTAAACCGGACATGGGCAAAAACAGTCTGTGCTTCAAAAGACATGATAAATCACAGATAGACTCTCCCTGGTTTGTTTACCATACTCTCTTAGCAAGTTGTTTATGTGGTGAAGCTTCTGGGGTTCCATATTTTTTATGCCACTCAGATGGTACAAGTTTAAGTACCAATGAGAACAAAATATTATAAATACTTCAAAGTGTACTTTAACACTCTCACCACATGATCTCTAAACCATCAGAAGTAGTTTAAGAATGATACGCAGAGGTGGGTTGCTGTGGCTCGCAGGGGCTGATGTGAGCCCCTAGCTAAGACATTGTGGGACTTGGTGAGCCCACAAATCCCACTCCTGGCTGGCTCTGCCCTGCTCCGCTCAACCGCACTATGCCCCCTCCCAAGAGTCCCCACAAGGCCCGTCTGGCTCCCAGGTAAGTGTAGGGAGGCCTTCCGGAGCAAAAATGGGGCATGGAGGAGAGGGTCTATCTGTGGTTTATCATGTCTTTTGAAGCACACATTGTTTTTGGCTTCTTTGAAACATGATAGCAATTGGTTAAAAAGTTGTTGGTTGTAAAACTCCTGGCCCACGGGCCAGATGCGTCACGCCATGCCCATGCCCAGTTTAGTGAAGGGGGAAGAAGTCCCACTACGTCACATGACACCACCATGACAATGCAGGTTTGATACCCTGTGTTAGAAGAAAGTTATACAAATGCTTCAGATTTAACATGAAAAGCTAACACATTACATCTATTGATATCTATACTGCTTTCTATTTTTTCTGTTCCCAGTTTTTCATTGATATTAGCAGGTGCTTAAATTTTTAGATAGTTTTTTGTTTAAGAACACATAAGAAGGGAAGTGAAGTAAACAAAGGGAACATATAGCAGAGGGAAACATTACTAACATGAATACATAACCAAGATTTAATAGATCTTTACCTTAGAACAATACAATCCCAATTGTTTCTTAAATGAAAAAAAACATGCTGATTTACATTAGCTCTTTTAGGATTGTATTATTCAAAAAATAAATAAAGAAAAGAATAAATGGTCTTTCCCTGCAGCCCAATTCTGTTTCAATAATATGGAAGTTGGAGTGGGTGGGAGCTGGAAGATTCACTTCCAGAAGCATCAATCTTGTGCTTGTATATTTCCAACCACTAGAAATTTTAAGAATTGAGAATTCCTTCTCTGTTGCTCTCATTGTTTCTATTCGGCTTTCTCCTGATGGAGAGATGGATGTTTTTCGATTCTTCCTTTTGGCTTATTTCCTTAAGAAAAATTAGGATATTTGCTGTTTTATTTTTTTATCCACATTCTATGGGGCAGGAATTTCAGAGAAGCAGAAAGATGTAACTATCTTGTTCTCGATTTATTCTTATTTATATACACACTCCTAATAGGTTTGGTTTCACTCTGCTATGTACAAAATGAGAGGATTTCAACAAAAGTTATTTCAACATTTTCCCTACAGTAGGAGGGTCATGAATAATTTTCTAATTCTAATCATCACATTCCTGAAACCAGCTAATGCTACAACCAAATAAGCAGAATGCATTCATGCTATTGACATCTTGAAATACATAACTACCTGTGGCCAGCAGACCCACCTGTGAAATTAGTAATCCAGAACATTTGTTGGACTGAAGGTTGCACAGTCTTTGAATAATATGTTGGAGACTACATCAAATGATATAACAAATGGAAAAAGGATACATCTGTATTCGCTCTAAGAGTTTCCCAATTTTTAGTATGCCAGCGTGAAACACTTTTTACAAGGCTAGCAATATACATCATGCCTGTGATTAAAGTCATTTTCTGCCATTATGCCATCAGATTGTTCCCGAGTTTTCTCTTCTGAGAACTTATCCTTTCCAATTCCTCCAATCTCTCCTCAAAGACATGATTTCTGATTCCTTAATCACCTTCATTTATTTCTTTTAACTTATTCTCAAAGTATTAATCCTCAGAATAGAACAGAGTATTTGAGGTGGAGTTTGACCAGGGTAATATTTTTTAAAAAAACCTAATTCTGTTGTCAGCTCTTAACAT